CCATGGGGGGGGGGGAACAATGTGCCACTACTTACTCAGACTGAGGAGGAGGTTTTTCCCCCAGAACCTGGTACTTTTTGTCGACTCTGATGACCTTGGCATGTCGTGTCACGCTGTGAGACAGAAGATGATCCTTTCTCAGCAATCAAACAATAGCATATAGTATCCAGATTCTCTATTTCTTTTATCTTTTGGTTTTTTATCTTTGGATGTTCTGGAATTTGCTCTGTAAACCAGGCTGGCCTTGAAATAACAGATCTGCCTGTCTCTGCCTCCCGAGTGCTGGGATTAAAGGGGTGTGCCACCACACCCAGCTACTCTATTTCTTTTTTAAGGACTTTATCCTTTTTTTCTTTTCTCTCCCAAGCCTACATATAGTTCTAAACACACTGTAAAACATTTAGAGGTTTTTCTTCATCTGAATCAGCCTTTACTGTATATCTCTATCTTTTTCTGACCACAAGAGTCTTTAATCTGCATGGCTAAGATTAAAGTGAAGGCTGGTCTATTCCTTGGCTTTCTGAGAGTCTAGGCTTCATGGCAGAGTTTCTAGGTTCATGTCACCACCAAGAAGCATATCACAGGCTGCTCATAAACACCACTTAATTGTTTGGTACCAGGGCCTCTTAAAAGAGTCCTGAGGTTTTTGCAGCTAATGCTGAGTCAGGGAGCCTCTCTTAAAGGAGCAGAGAGCCTCTGCTTGCCTATAGTGACAGAGCCCACCCAAGAAAATGCTGCTACCAAGAAGCTGTGCTTGACTTTGTTCTTTTGTTTTTAGAATCCCTTTTTAAGCTTTTGTCAGGTTTTATGTGGAAATTCTTGCTTCATGTTGGTAGTGCCATTTGTAGACAAGGTTTCTGTCCCACCAGGTCCTGCAGCCCTTTAGTCCCAAATAAATACACAGAGGCTTATATTGATTATAAACTGTTTAGCCAGTGGCTCAGGCTTCTTATTGGCAAGCTCTCTCTTAATTATTAACCTATTTCTGTTAATCTGTGCAACTCCATGTGGTTTTGGCTTACCAGAGAAGGCTCCTGCATGCTACTCCTTCGGAGGCTACATGGCACCTCCCTGGCAGCTCCTCTCTGCCTCCTCTCCCCAGAATTATTCTTGTCTGGAAGCCCCGCCTATACTTCCTGTCTGGCTACTGGCCAATTGGTGTTTTATTCATCAACCAATAAGAGAAACATACACACAAAAAGGACGTCCCCCATCAACTTTGTAGTGTATGTGTGTCTGGGGCAGGAGGTTCTGTACCCACTGGATCCTTCCTGGGGTGCCTGAGAACCCACAATGCCTATGGGGCAGGATGACTGAATTTTAGAACAGCTCTGCAGGATGCTTACCCACCCTTCAACTTCTCTGAAAAGCAAAAACCTTAACTTTGGATTTATTGCCAAGGCCAGGTAGAGGGCAGGTGGCAGAGGTGATCAGGTCCAGAATTTTTCATCCTCCCGTTCCCATGAAGACTCAAGGAAAGGCCTCAGGGTCAGTAGATAACCATAGGTAACCATACAACACTTCTAGTTAGATGTAAATGCATTTACACAAGGAATAAACACACACACACACACACACACACACACACACACACACACACGTTATCTAGAGCTTAGTAGAGTCAAAGTTGGCTCAGCCATTTGATTTCTGTCATTTGCTTTCCCTAAAATATGCAGGTTAGAGCTAGTGGCCAGAGGCTCATGTGTGATAGATGACCTCCCCAGAGCTGCGTAAGTGACCATGGACTTAGATGCCATGTCCTAGTCCTCCCGTATCTGTGAAGTTGCTCCAGGAAACCCACCTGCTCCTGTGCTCAGTCTGTCCCCCTTTCTAATGCTGTACATCTCGTGGGGAAATTGCAGGACAGGGATATGCCTGTCATCCCAATGATAGCCACCTAGAAACTTTTCCAGGTACAAACACGTGGGAGCTGTGATCCACCCCTAAGGATGAACTCAAGCCTGAATGAAGCCGGTGTTTGCAGTGCCGCTCCCGTTCCTTCCCGCACAGTTCCTGAGCATGAGTGCAAGTGGGGCCTGAGATCAGAGTCTGAGAAAAAAGACAGGCCATGTGGCCTTTGTCTGGGAACAATTGGGCCCAGGGCATCTGGGAAGGGGAAATTTGGGATGGCCTTGTACCCTTACCTCCCAGCCGAAGTGAGACTGGAGCTGGCCAAGGCCTTCTTTATAGACTTTTCTCCCCGGTACCGATGTTTCTTCAAGACTTTGGGTGACAGGTGTCAAAGACAAGAGCAGAGAAGAAGAGGTGATGATAGGCTGCAGCTGCCACCAACTTCCCTGCCACTACCTTCCGAGACCCACAGCTCTGTGTTTCTACCTGTGTGGGAACGATCCTTATCACACGCCAAAGCCAGTTTTGTCTGAGGAATTCTGAAACCAAAGGGAAGGAAGTGAGCTTTTCCATAGTGACCACAACAACAGCCCAGGCCAAGCCCTGGGTAACAAACAGTTGGTCCTCAATAGATCGTGCATGAGTCTCACCTCCGGCTTAAGGATTTAGGTGAGTAACTGAGGTTTAAGAGGGGAAACCTCTGGCCTGAAGTCACAGGCTCCTGGAGCAGCACCCCTATGGTACTCCAGTGAACAGGGCCCCAGAGCCAAAGTGGTAGGCACTCACTGAAGGATCTTCTTGACCACATCCACAGCAGGGTCTTCAATCATGGGCCTCCCCATGCGGGTTGGTTGGGAGAAGGACTCAGGGGCTATAAGGCCCACCTTGGCTTCCTCCTCAACGACCTCTGAAGACGCAGGGATGTCACTCTCTATATCCATATCATTCATGGTGTTGTCCTGCAGTCCAGAGAGAAATTCTGAGTAGAGGAACCACATTTTAAGGAGACAACAGATACTGTCCATTGCCATCTTTTCCAAGTGATGGCTGGAAGCAAGCTGCCTGAGCTCATTTGTTCTATGAAGTGGTTGTGCTCCTATTCCCTCAGGGGAGGTCGATTGATCATTCATTCATTCATTCATTCATTCATTCCTGACTTTATATATAAAGATTTCCCGAGTCCTTGCTCTCCACAAGGCTATGCCTGAATGCTGGGGACATGGATGGAGAGGCTATATAGGGTACCTGACCTCTTGAAGCCTGCAGTCTAGGTAAGACAGAAGGATATTAAATGCACTCACACACGCATAAATGTGTTGTCAGAATTAGGACAAGTCCTATGAAGGGAAAGTTCCAGCATCTTCTGTTAGCATGAAGTGAGACCTACAGTGTCAGCCATAGATACCCCAACTGGTGTCTTGACCACATGGGTTGAGGGAATGAATGAAGACAAGACTAAGCGTGACCAACTGCCTATGAGAAAGGGCAGTAAAGACACCCACAAAGAGTAATTAGTCTGACTGTTCCATCATTTATTGAGTCTCCTCTCCTGGAAGGCCTTTGGAAGGGCATGGGCTGGAACCCTGGAGCCTCCGTATTGCCATGAGCAGTTGTAGGAAATGGCTGGGGGCAGGGGGGTTACCTGACTGCCCAGTAGGGAAAGCCTCCCCTTAGAAGGAAGAGTGGCAAAAATCTGGCAGTGAGAGCCGAGCAGCAGCCTACTCATGCAGTAATTGGCTCTTGAGTTCTCTGAGAGTGGCTGAGACTGTCATGAGCAAAACCTAATGTGGGGATGGGGAAAGAGGCAGGTCATGCAGGCTCTGCCCATGCCAGTGCTCAGTCTCCAGCAGCTAGCTTTTTAACCAGAGACCTAACCTCTTGGACGGTGGACTCATGGGGAAGTGGAAGATACTCCAGGGCCGGTAGTCCCACCCAGACCAGAAGGCAAGAGATGCCTTTGACTAGGAGAAAGGGATAAAGGGTATTGGTGACAGCCCATGGAGGCTCCCTTGTGACTGGTTGAAGGGCTTGCATTTGACACTGAAGGCAGGAGGATGACAAAGTTATTTGGGCCTTTGCTGCTGTAAAAGGACTGGGCATTGAGTGCATAAGAGACTTAGTAGCTAGAGGAAGAGGCATTGGGGTCTTGTTGGAGATGGAGGATGTGACTGCTCACGGCACATGGGAAGGCAAAGGTGAATGGACTTGACTGAGACCGAATGCACTGGCTAACTTGAGAGCCTTGGGAGAGAGAAGTGTTGCCAAAGATGTGACGAGTCTCCTGAGAGATAAGTGCAAGGAGCTGGCCCACAGGCCATCCCAGCTGAGATCTGACTCCATGGTGGGTCATCTTCCCATAACTCCCCAGCAGGCCTGATGAAACCTGGGCATCTCCTCTCCTCTTGTGCAGTACTACATCTTGTGGGGTCTCCTAGGAGCCCAGACTACAACTTGTTTCCCTTTTCCCCATCTCTCCATGTTCTTTACCGTAAAGACCTCACGAGTAATGGACACCGAATCCAGGCTGCAGTTGAGGTACTTAATCCTTTGGCTCAATTTTTCTTTCCAGGATCGGATAAAGGCAAGGAGGTCATCTATGGCCACCATCTAGTGGGAATACAGAGTGAGGGAGCCCCAGAAAAGAGGCAAGGTCACCAGAAGTGCAGGAACGGGGGCTTATCCAGGAATGACAACATTGGGTTCTTCCAAGTCCCCTTTCTTATAGGAAATGGTCCTGGAGGAGTGTGTATATGTGTTGGGGGAGGGGTGTCACTGGATGGCTGCCTTGGGCAGCTGTCTTAAGATGGCAGATCCTTCACTGATGGGGGAGTTCTGCTCCTGGTCTTGTAGGTTCAGCTATAGGCAAGTGATTCAAAAATTCTTGACTCAGTTTCCTCATCTATAAAATGGGGATATGGGACATCCCCTAGTGTCTCCTCTAGCCCTAAAATATTATGCTTAAAGGACAAATTTGGTCCAGTTGGCAAGGGTGTGGAGAGTTGTGAAGGAGAACTGACTGTCCATCTCACCAACATCCCCCTTAGCAGCACCCTACAGGTCTAGGCATGCACCCTCAACCATCTTTATCTTCACCATGCATCCAAGACTTTACCACTGTCTCCTTGCCATTGCTCTGCAGACTATAAATTGGGCCCCTCCATCCACACAGGAATAGCTCGCCCAGCTTACACTTTCTCCACCTCATCAGAAGGCTGGGTAAACTCTCCTGATAGCCACACAACATCAAAGAAAAGGTGGAGCTTGGAAGGGGAGCCAGAGATGCTCCCAAACAGGGTCCTGCTCAACTCCACTGTGATCTCGACTTTTCACAGGTTAGACATGAAAAATCGGTTTATGGACTGTGATGAAATGGAGCACAGAGCTCCTACTTCTCTTATTCACCTTGGGCTGAGCTCCCAGGGCAAAGAAGGCCTAATGACACTGCAGAGGGAAGTAGGGTCTCCAAATCCAGTCTCAGGCCCCCACCCCCACCAACATCTGCATGCTCGTCTGAGGCTGTGGGAGGGGGAGCAGGATTGGTTGTTTTTTTCTTTCTGCCTTCCATTGAGTAACACAAAAGTTAGCCACTGAGGCTCAAAGACACCCCACCCTCTCTGTGCTGGAGAAATCTGGTACCCAGATGCAAGTCTACACCAACTGTGCCAGTCTTGACTGTGCACATTCAGAATCTGTGATCCACTCACGCCCTTATCTCCCCGGCAGTCTCGACATGTTTGTATCTTGTGTTGAAGCTGTTCCAGAGAAGAATTTAATCCTTCTGCTTGCGAATTGGACTTTGCCACCTAGGAAACCAGGAGTTTTGAGATTCTGTTTTTAGAATATATATAGAATTTATATTTATATTAGAATTCATATTTATATTAGAATACACAGGAAATTGATTAAACACTGGAAAAAATCCAGTGGCAAAGTATACAGTCATATCAAAAAGATCAATACAAGTTTAAAAGGTTTGTTGATGTATCACATAGTTATGGTTTAAATGAAACTGGCGCCACAGAGTGCAGTTAAGTATGTAAGGCATTCAGAGCTTGGAATACCCACACTCTAACACAGCATCCCAGATTACAGGATACCTGAGGACATAGGCAGTATCCTGGACAAGGGTGCTTCTCAAGGGTGCTGCCTGAAGGAAGTGAGTTCGAATCCTCTGTACTCACATAGAGATCTGGGCACAGTCATTTGTGCTTGCAACCTCAGAATGGGGACCTGGCTCCTGAGAGTTCTCTAGCCAGCCAGCCTTGCCAAAGCAGTGAGCTGGCTCTCTCGGCAGTAAGGGAAAGGAACCCATGATAGAAGCTGCAAGTGGTTCACAAAGGTTGCAGTTAGAACAGGAGCTGGAGTTAAAAAGAAAGATGGAAGGACTTAAATGGCTGAGCTTTTAGCACTGAGGGGAATGAATTCGAAGGCTTATGCTTATGTATGAGGAAACCAAGACGAGTGGATAAGAGTGGGCCGATGAATGCTGCCTAGCTGTCCCTGCAATGTCCCTTAGGGAACAGGTAAGTCACTATTGTCCTTCAAACATACCCTGCTTCAGGTAGCTAGTTACAACAGACCAAAGCATAAGTATGGATGACTTCTAAAAAAAAGCCTCTACTACGAGATCTCTCACCCACCCTAGAGACATGTCAGATAACTAAGAAAGCTGCAGCTGCATCTTGGTGGCTTTGATCGAGTTAGCACTGCCATGATAGAGCTACACGCTGGTCATGTAAGTTTGAGGACAGAGAGCTCAGTATAATAAACAAGACGCCTTCAAGGTCAGGTAGCAATACAAGCTAATGACCAGCGGCTAGCTGACAAAGACAATAACAAACAAACCTAGAGTCAGAGACAGGCAGAGAAGGGCTTCCAACACTCCTAATTCAGTGGGAAACCCAAGAAGTACACGTGATTATCTCTTCTTCCTGGGCTCAGCGGGTATGCAGAGACAGTGGGGGCCCTCCATTTGCTTGGCTCATGATAGCCCAGATAATTAACCAATCTTAATAGTCCTGACACTGCCCTACAAAATCCCTCCTAGACAAAGGAAACAGTGTTCTTCCATCTCTTGGAAAGTCTTCCCACTCTCAGGAATTTCCCTTACTTTTCCTTAATTTCTTACTTTTTCTCAATTTCTTAACTTTTCCTGTAGTAATTATTTACACAGCCCATTTCCACTTTGCATACTTCCTTGGGTGTCTGAGCTTTTAATCATCATTGGTGTGAGACAATGAACTTGGAGCCACTGTTGCAGGCCAATCTCCAATGCCCATAAGTGTCCAGCATCTTAAGCTCTTAAGCTCTTTGAGCATGTACAACTGGGCTGTGAAAGCTTTGTACTTAAACCCCTCCATCTCTAGGAGGTCAGCCCAGGCTCTTCATGTCTAGTGTACCATGAGTTCCACCGATCCCATGACCTCTCAATTCTGGAATCAGGACATGTCCCTGTAGACACCTCATCCAGGTCCATTCTCTCCATATACTTGGCCAGACAGCTATAGGTGTTTTTGTGTGTGTGTGTGTGTGTGTGTGTGTGTGTGTGTGTGTGTGTGTATGTGTGTGTGCAGATAGTGGCCAGAGGTCAACATATATGTTACTGTCAGGAGCAATTCACTTTTGTGTTAAGTATTTTTATTGGGGGTTGGAGAGATGGCTCAGAGGTTAAGAACATTGGCTGCTCTTCCAGAGGTCCTGAGTTCTACTCCCAGCAACCATATGGTGGCTCACAACCATCTGTAATGAGATCTGGCACCCTCTTCTAGCCTTTAGGCATTCATGCAGACAGAACATAATATACATAATTAGATATTTTTATTAATTCTTTGAGAATTTTAGACAATGTGTTTTCACCATATTTCACACATCTTCCAGATTTTCTCCCATCTCCTTAGCACCCCCAATGTCATGTCCTCTTTTTGTATTATTATTTAATAACCTGTCAATCCCAATTTGTGCTGTCGATACGGGGTATCTCATTGCCCTGGAGCTCACCAGGTAGGCTAGCCTGGCCAGTCAGCAAGCCCCAGGGATCTGCCTGTCTCTCCTCCCCAGCACTGGAATTGCTATCATGTATACCGTGCCCAGCTTTCTAGACATGAGTTCTGGGGCATGACCTCAGGTCCTGCTTTGGGTTGAGCGCTTTAAGGAGATAAAAGCAGTCTATCTAGTTCTTCTATGGACAAATAATGCTAAACAAAATAAGTTGGTGATCGTGGAGTGCAGTAACTCAATGAATGGGTGGAGCTCCTAAGCATTACTTGTCTTCCTGGCTGAAGTACCCTGGGACAGACCCCACACTGCTGTACCGCGTGGATGTGCAGGTGTGTGTGATGGTGTCCACCAGATGGAGGCTGGACCTGACCTACCTGACACTTGATGTTCACTTGCAGATTTGTCATCAGCCGTTGGATTTTCTCTACGAAAATCAGGTCTGAAGACAGGTTATGGAATTTACTTTCAAATTTGTTGATGACATCATTGGCCTGTAAGGAAAGATGAAAAGTAAACTGGGGTAAACTTGATCTGGAATATTAGATCTTGGAAGAATGTGGGAGCTTAAATATGGCTGGGGTCCAGGTGTACCCTTTCTTCAGAAGTGACAGCCTCTGGCAGGCAGTCCTGGAAGCTGTCTGGGGGGGGACACAGAGCCCCACCAGCTATTCCATCTCCAGGGAGCCCCACCTGGTCCAGGTGCTCCATCTCCAGGGAGCCCCACCTGGCCCAGCTACCAGGGAGCCCCACCTGGCCCAGCTACTCCATCTCCTGGGAGCCCCACCTGGTCCAGGTGCTCCATCTCCAGGGAGCCCCACCTGGTCTAGATACTCCATCTGCAGGGGTCCCCACCTGCTCTAGGTACTCTGTCTCCATTTTCTCCATGTGGATCATGATTAGACTTTCAACAAACTCAATCCGAGTAGCCTCCTTCTCCAGTCGATGACACAGGGACTCGATTTCTTCAGAGGAAAAGTTGCCTCCCTCTGAAAACAATCTGAAGAATGATTGAGGAGAAGCAAAGACCACTAGTCAAACTGAACATTCTCGTTCATCCCAAGGCCATGACTTTAGATCTGGGTGCAGGTGGTGGAAAGATAAATGCAGGTTATGCAAATGCAGAGTCAGTGAGATTGCCAGTTAGTGCATCAGGTCAGTGCCCTGACAGGCCAGCTGAAGAACGGAAATGCTGCACAAACTCCAGACAAGGAAGCTATGCATGTAGCTTAGTGTTAACATGCTTGTCTAACATGCAGGAGGCTCTGGGTTCAATTCTCAATACCATTGAGTGAGTGAATGAATGAATGAATGAATGAATACGAATGAATGAATAAAAAGGTCCACATAAGGATGAGGTTTGCAGTCTCCAGATGAACTGAAACTAGAGGGTCCCTTGGGATGTGGGTGGTACTAAAGCTGACTTTGACCTAGAGACCTTAACACTGAGCCTCCATGACTGCACAGGGGGAAGAGCCCGCATGGAACTGGGTCCTGAGGGTAGCACTTTCAGTGAGATTGACTGACACATGAACCTCATCAGGTTCCAGGATACTGAGATCCCAGGGCAAGAAGGAAAGAAAGCTCCTTTTAATATCAGATTTTGTTTACCAACTGAATATTGTTCTCTAGAATGACAAAATGAATCAAAATCTCAAGCAGAGAATTTTAATTGGTTCTTAGTAGATATTTCCCCAAGTGGTTCACTAAAAACAGGAATGCCCTGTGAGTCCAGGCCTCAGAGAAGACACTGCAGATAAAATCTGAGAAACAAGTGACTTTCAGTGGGAAAAAAATCACAAAGAAGTAAGACACTATGAATAAGAACCAAAAAAACAAGGAGGAGAACACAAGAGATATTAGAATTATCTGACATAAATTACAAAATAACCAAATATAAGATGTTTAAAGAAAAAGAAAGACCTCTGCTTCCTGACCACAGAAGCAATGTGACCAGCCACCTCATGCTCCTTGTGACATGCCTTCTTGCTATGTTGGAATGTAACCCTTTGCAAGTCTGAGCCAAGATTTACTTTTCCTTAGGTTTCTTCTGTCAGGTATTTTACCATGGCAACAAGTAACTAACATAGAAAATAAGCAGAAAGGGAAATACAAGCAGGAAGCAGTCAATTTGGAAAAACAGTTGATACAACCAGGAAAGAAAATTGTAACAGTTCAGTTTTAAACCCTAAGGAATAGCTTTTACATTTTTATTTATGAAATGTTTTATGCATACATACGTGCGAGTGTGTGTGTGAGTGCATGTGTGTGTGCACTCACATGCCATGATGCATTTGTGGTTGGAGACCCATCTCAGGAGCCAGTTTTCTCCTGTCACCTTGTGGGATCCTGAGACCAAACATAGGTCATCAGGCTTGGATACAAGTGCAGGCATATGCAGGACAGAGGTGCCTGAATAATATGTAAAACGAATGTAAGCCCTACAGACACTGCCACGGATAGTGCATGGTGGTCAAGAGCTAGACAGGAGGAATAGGCAAGACCTCTGAACAGAGAGAGGAAACAGCAGATGAATCCATGCGTGAATGTGCAACACACCAACAAGACTTGGAGGGAGTTGGACATAAGAAAGGTAGAAAGCCATAAGGAAAAATCTAGATTAATAGAAATGGGTTGATTTAATTTATAAGAGCTAGTGGGACAAGCCTAAGCTAAGGCTGAGCTTTTATAACTAATAAGTCTCTGTGTCATTATTTGGGAGCTGGTGACCAACAACAAAGCTTGCTACAATGAGGCATGCACATATGTGATGCACATATAGACACACAGGCAAAACACTCACATGCATTAAAATGGATCAAGTATGGCTTGTTACAAATGTGAAAAGCTGAATTTGGTATTATATTCAGGCAAGAATGAGCAAAGACGGGGGGGGGGGGAAGGGCCAATGAGCAGACAGAAAAAACACCATCACTAGTTACTAGGGGAATGCAAACTAAAACCATCCTCTGACACTGCCTAACATCCACTACAATTTAAAAAGAAATTCATAATAAGTGATGGTGAGGATTCAGAGAAACCAGAACTCCTGTGCCTTGCTAGTGGAAATGTAAAATGAAAGTTACTATAGAAAATAGATATAAAAATAACTCCTGGGAAGAAAAGGATGGGACCGCCACTTGATACACCTGTTCTCTTTCTGGGGATGGGTCCAACATATTTGAAAGCAGAGCCCAAACTGTTACTTATAATGTCCCTTATACCACTATTCACAATCACCCAAAGGTGTAAACAACCACACACTCATCAATAGGCCGGGGTGGCATGCAACACAACACAACAGAATATCACTCAGCCTTACAAGGGAAGAAAGTGTTGATACAGGATATAACACAGACAAACCAACCTCAAAGAAGGATACACGCAAATGAAAGACACTAGGAAGAGAAGGACAGACACACAATTCCTCTATAGGGAGTAGCTAACTTTATTTGTTGACAATTTCATACCTGTATAGAATGAATTTCACATTAACCCCATGGCCTTTCCCCCACCTTCCTTTTTCTCAACAAGCCTTGCTTCCACTTTCATAGCTCTTGTGTGTGTGTGTGTGGCCCACTGAGTTTAATTAGGGTTGCTTGTATGAACATGGTGGGGGTGGGAGGCTTGTTTTCAGAAATATGGGTAACTCATCAGTGACTACCCCACTGAAGAAGGTGACACCCTTTCCTGAGAAACCACTGACTGTCGGTGGTCCCCATGGGAGGAGCCTCATGAGTCTGGCCCCCTCCCAGAATGAAATGTCCAGTGGGCCCAGTCCTGTGCAGGTCTTTTTAGGGGGAGTGGGGAGGTAGTCACAGCTCAGGGAGTTTATAGGTGCAATAGGCGTGTTATGTGCAGAACACATCTTTTAGCAACACATCTCCTATCCTCCAAAGCTTCTATTCCTTCTGCCCCATCTCTGTGATGTGTCCTGAGATTTGGAGGAGGAGATCATAGATGATCCATTTAGGGCTGGACATGGAACAGTCAATTTGATAGAGATAGGAAGTAAAATGGCGACAGCAGGGACGAGGAAAGGGGAATGAGGAGCAAATGTTAAATGATAAAGAGTTCTGGTCTGTGATGATGGAAAATTCTAGTGCTGGTGCTGGCAATAACAGCCCTTTGTACTTAACACCACATCTAAAAATGGTTAAAAATAAGTTGAGAGAGAAACATGGCCACCTCCCAAGAATAAACTGTGGTGGCTCGTGGTGGAGGCCTAAAATATACACTCGTCCCCACCTGCAGTGCTTGACAAAGTCAATGTTGGTGTAGCGGAGCTTGCCCAGACTCTCCTCCAGGTACTGTCGGAAGCTTCGCAGGGACACCTGGATGACGTCCACGTAGCTAAGCAGCTCCCGGTGTAGTGTATTGGTGAGACTAACCAGCCTGTGGAGAGACAGGGAAGAGGTAGGTGGTGGTGAATGACCAGCCTGGGAGGCAGGAAAGGGCTGGGTGTGACCTGAGTCTGGTGGGAACCCTAGGCATTGCCAGATCCACTGCCCAACTCCTCTGGCCAGGAAAAGAAACACTAGAAAGGAGGTTTAAGGACAGTTGTGGTGGTGCAAGCCTGTAATCCCAGCACTCATGGGGCTGAGTCAAAAGGATCATAAGTTCAAGGCCATCCTGTATGACAGGGAGCTCAAGGCTTACCTGACAATTTAGTGAGACCCCCCTTCTCAAAATAAAAAGTAAAAGGGCTTTGCCAGCAAGTTAGTAAAGGAGTCCCAGTTTCTACTGAGTCCTCACCCTCCCACCAGCAGACCACCCTTACCCTGTGTTCTCCTCAAACAAAAGTTACTTCTCTGCACAAAGGCCACCAGAATCAGCTGTCCCTGTGATTGACTGAAGCAGAGATACCTGCCATGGTCCTTCCTGTCACCTGAATGAGGCCCCTGTCTTACATTTCTGGGCCCCTTGCTCTATCTGCCCTGCCAATGCCCCTGACTTAAGCTTTGGCAGGCACCCTTGGGTTCATCGGCAATGCTCTCTTGAGGAAGCCCTTGCAGATGCCCCAAGGGGAAGCAATCTTCCTCAACACCAACATTTCCAAGCACAGTATCTGCACCCTTGCACATGGGCTACATATATGTACCTCTTTCCTCCGAGGCTATGCACCTGCTGCCTCACACAAAATGCTGTTCATGGAGTCTGGGTCTTCCGGCTCTGGTGAAAAGGTATGTTCAAAAGCACTAAAGCCCTCTGCCCCTTCTCCAGAAGGAGCTGGGCTTCTAGAGCCAGGCCTCGGGAGGAGACACTCCAATCCCTTACCTTTGGCTCTTGGTGGCATTCAAGAAGATGTGCTCCATGTCGTAGATCTTGCGGCGGAAGTTTCTGCTCCGCACAGCTTGCTCTTCTTGGAACTGACAGAACATCAGCCTCTCTTTCTTCAGTGTCTCAATCACGCCTGCGCAGTGGCTATCCAGCCTCTCCTGGTGGAGCAGGAGCTCAGCTGCAGGAGGGTAAAGAGAGCTGCTACTGAGGCCATTCCTTCCTTGGAATGGGGTCACCTGTTGTATCTCTTAGGCCAGCCCAAAGCAGGAACCACTCTTGCTAGGCAAGCACCCTTACTGTGCCCTAACTGCCCTCTCCAGGTTGATCTGAAGACCAATGAGTACCCACTTCAAGGTCTCATCCTGGAGGCGGGCTGTGAGCCTGCACTCTCTTGCTGGTGGAGCCCTCCAGCTGCTGAGAGGGCAAAACTAGTGATGCAGAGAATCCCTTGGAGAAGAGGATGGTTGGGGGTATTTGAGGAACACTGAGATTTTGGTGTGTGTGTGGGGCCTCAACAAGCACAAAGCTGTTAAGTCTTGACCTGTTTCTTTACACCCATGAATATTATGTCCAATAGCCCAAATTCCAACTGGCTCCAAGGTGAGGTAGAATGAAAAACAGATCAGGTTTCCTTTATGGCAATCAGAGAGCCCCACATCTCCCGCCTGAGTGTGCTACTGCCTGGAGTGATTGATAGAAGGGCTGTGGGTAAAGTTCTAACAAAAACAAATGGTGTCAGCAAACCAGAGACAGCGGCACACCCATGCTTATTTCCTCACTATTCACAGTAGCTAAGATAGCCCAGTGGACATCAACAGTAAGTGGCTAGCTATACTGTAGTGTATAGTTATAACAAATTCTACTCAGCCATAAAGGAAAATGAACTTATGTGATTTTCAAGTAAATGGGCAGAACTGGAGATTATGTTAAACAAAACAAGCCGGTCTCTGGAAGTTAAATAGTGCATGTTTTCGCTCATATGTGGAATCTAGATGTTATATGAATATATATATATATATATATATATATATATATATCTACATCTATATATAATCTATCTATCCATCCATCCACCCATTCATCCATCCATCCATCATCTGTGAATGGCATAAAACAAGGAGGACCAACAGTATCTGGAATAGGGACAAAAGACAGCTTTGGGGGATAAATATGGACAAAGTACAATGACATACACACATACACGAATGAGAAAAATACCATCATGAAACCCATTATTCTGTATGACAATTTTTGTTTTTGTTTTTGTTTTTAGAGTCAGGGTTTCTCTGTGTAGCCCTGGCTGCTGGCTGTCCTGAAACTCACTCTGTAGACCAGGCTAGCCTCGAACTCACAGAGATCCATCTGCCTCTGCTGGGGTTAAAGGCATGCACTTGACTGATAATTAATTTTTTTAAAATTTAAAACCAGTGTGAAGCTGGGACTTCACTGCTGCAGTCTGAGTTTCCAAGCTGAGCACTGGTCTGTGGAGCTGAAGCAGCAAAAGGAATTGGTCTTCGGTGCTGTTCTTTTCATCCTTTACTGCATTTAGTTCACATGTTTCCCAAAGTGCAAGGCTGAAGAGCTTGAGGTCCGCCATCGTCACTGCTCCAGACCCTGGGAGTTTGGATGGGGACATGTGACAGTCCATCCAGGAGAGCCTTAAAGGCTAAGGATCCAATTGAACTATCAATAGGGGCCAATAAGAATCTGACTAAAATTGTGTGCTCCTCCCCATTAATGGAGCTTCCTACCTAGAAAAGAAAAGGTTTGTCTTTCCAAGACCAATGATCAAATGAAAATAATGGCTTACACGCTGAGGCACCCATATCTCAGACCAGCTGCTCACCATTTCTCCCTACACCACTTCAACACCTTCTCCTATAGAGGAGTGGGGGAAAGGGGAGGGCAAGAGTGGTCAGATAATCTGTTCAGAGTTGCAACAGCCAGAGACAGTGAACCAGAGAGTTCTGGTTCTAAGCTGTAGACTTGCTGCTAGAGCATCCACTATACAGGTGTGCATCTGACAGATGTGTGAGAAGACCTGGAACCCAAGAGCTACAACAGGACGGCACTCTTCCTTTCGCCCCTGACACTCTACAATGGAAGGGAGGGAGGAAGAAAAGAAAGCAGAAACACCCACGAGGGTGAGACAAAGAGGTTCCCACAAGTCTGAGGCTAGCTTGGGATCCATGATGAGTTCCAGACCAGTCTATGCTACCAATTAGAGATCTTGCTTCAAGAAGGAAGAAAGGAAAGGAGGGAGGGAGAGAGAGAAGGAGAGGGCCAGGGAAGGAAGGGGAGAAGGAAGGGAGGAAGATTTTAAAATCTCATGTGCTGATTCTGGGCACACCTTCCAAATGTGATGACAACCTAACATTACACAGGGTAAACTGGAGCAGTTAAAAAAAAAAAAAAAAAAAAAAAAAAAAAAAAAAAAAAAAAAAAAAAAAAAAAAAAAGAGGGCATGAACCCATGAACAGCAGCAGATCCTGTAGGGGATGTCTGGGGACAAGGGGACCTTTCCAGGATGACTCTAACCTGCTCGGACATTATGAATATCCCTCTCCACGTACTGGAATCTTGGCTTGTGCAGGTGCAGACGTAGCTCCAGTTCTGAATCCAGTTCATCAATCTTGGCAGCCACAATGATGTGAGCATTGAGAGCACATTGGTCAAACCACTTCTCAAGATGTTCAAAGAAGCCAGCTCGAAGCCTGGGGAGAGATGAGTAAGGGCCAGTCATCTCTGGCAGCAATAAAAGACCGACCAGTAAGAGGTCTGCCATACTGAAACCCAAAGTGTTCTGTGCTTTTGTACCTTGTTTTGTTCCCTGTGCATGTGCTATCTCATTGAGTGGGTGGACACCATCCATCCACTCAGACTCGTTTACTCTCACAGAGAAGGCTGTGATGAACAACCCCATACCTACATCAAGTACAGAAGAGCTCAAAGGTTAAAAATGTTGTGTGTCTACATTTCTTCACATCTCCTCAGGAATAGTGCCACAGAACACTGGGCTACACAGTCTTTTTTTTCAAGGCCACACATTATTCCTTCATTTTTCATAGTTCTTTTCCATTTTCTGTGTTGATCAGTATAATATATATATATTATATATATCAGTATTACATATATATATGTATATATGTAATATACATATAGTATATATATATATATATATATATATATATACATATATATATATATATATCTGGTTTTTCGAGACAGGGTCTCTCTGTGTAACTTTGTAGACCAGGCTGGCCTCAAACTCACAGAGATCCACCTGCCTCTGCCTCCCAAGTGCTGGAATTAAAGGTGTGCACCACCACCACCCAGCTTAGAATTTTTAAATAAAAGAAATATAAGAGGCTGGAGATTACAAGTACTTGCTGCTGTTTAGTACACCTAGGTTTTGTTCCCAACACCCAGAAGACAGTTAACAACCATCTGTGACTCCAGTTCTTGGGGTTCTGGTACCCTCTTCTGACCTCCACAGGCACTATACATACATTATACACATATACAGGTAAATACTCATACACATAAAATAAATAAGTCCTTTCAAAAATAAAAGAAACTTTAAAGTCACAGCTGTACTAGGAATTAAAAGTCAGAAGTAGATGTCGGGGGGAGTACTCCTATAACAAAGTCAGACCAATGGAGCACCCTGGGAAGGGTGCAGGGGTCACACTCACCAAGGATATCCATGTCTGTGGAGCATTCTGGGTATTTGATATTTTCTATGGTGTTTCTCACCCCTACCCTCCCTCAGTCACCTAAGCTTTTAATCTTTCTAGCTACAGTGAGTCTTTAGTTCTATGAGCTCGGGTAGAAAGTTCAGAGTAAGAGAATGTGAACACAACAGTTTCCACTCACCGTTTCTTAACTTTGACGATTAGTTTGTTAGGAATGATCACTTGTTCTATGTACTTGGTGCTGAAAGGGTCATGAAAGAGCACAACTTGGTAGGAAGGGGGCCTTGTGTGTACCCTTTGTTCATCTTCCACAGACAGGAAGGCAAAATAAGTGTTCCCACTTGTAGTTGTGAAAAAATCCTTTTGTTCATTGGACACCTCCTCCATGCTCTCTTCCTTGCCTTCTTCCTACGAAGACAAGGAGACTTGAAACTCAGTGTCAGCTGATGGGTGTGACAGCACAGACTGAGAATATGTGGCCCAAACAGCCAACAGGAGCTTCCTCGGCTCCTTCTCCACCACATGGGGTGCTTTCACCTTTGTTTTTTTATTTGCAGGGCTTTTTGCATGCAAGGACTGGATTCCCTGAGCCTCATCCTCAGTGGTTTTAGAATGGAGAAGTTTCCACATACCAATCTCAGTTCCCCATTTCCTTTGAAACAGCACCAAACATGATTTATTGTTGGCTGAGACTGAGTAGTGATGGCACACTTTTTACTACTTGTCATTTTTACATGTGACCTCCCATCTTTTCTCAACACATGTGTGAAAAATTTGAGTTTGGAATTATCGGAAAAAAAAAAATCCTAGGTGCCAGTTCTTCCACAGCAATATAGGAAATATGTCTTTTGCCATTCTGCGACCATAGAATTCTGCACACCACAGAATATGGTCTTGTGCATTGGGATGTGTTTTGAAGACAAGGCTTATTAAGATGAGCTACTTGCCAACCCTCAAATGGGAGTGTCCTAGTTGCATTTACATCCTGACAAAAGGCAACTCAGGGGAGAAAGGGTTTAGTTTAGCTTGTGGCTCCAGGTCACAGTCTGTGAGAGCAGGAAGTCAAGGCAGCAGGAGGCTAATGCAGTTAGTCACATCACATCCACAACCAAGAACACAGAGGAATGAATACATGTATGCTCATCTGCTTGCTTGTGCTCAGCTCCATGTCTTCACTCTTATGCAGTTTAAAATGTGCTGCCTGGGGAATGGTGGGCTCGGGCCTCCCACATCAATCAAGACAGACATGACCACAGGCTAACCTGATGTATACAATCTCTCACTGAGACTCTTTCCAGACCATTCTAGGTTTATCATGTTGACAATTAAAACTACCCATCAAGCTGAGCTTTGCCTGAGTGTTTTGTTATCTATCCAGTGAACAGGAAGAGACAAGGGTTAAAATAGGAGCGACTGAGACAATCTGTGCAATAAACAGGAGGTGAGAAAGACCCCAGGAAGGGATGAAGAAAGCCATGTGAAAGGATAGGGTATAGGGGCATGAGAAAAAAAAGACAAATTTTAAAAATTATTGCTTGAAGGAAGAACTGGATGTTTGTTGACAAAAAATAGAATGGAATAAATACTCTTGTAGCTCTATCTGTGGAGACTGAGGTGCTGGGAACCCCAGCTTATCTGAATAATTTGCATAGGATAAACACAGCAGACTTTCTTCATAACCAACAATGAACCAGTGGATGGCTTACCAAACCCATAAAAAGGCACTCTTGAAAGAACTCCATCTCATCTTCAGTCATTTTGTCATCCTCCTCCTCCTCCTCCTCTTCCTCTTCCTCATTCATTTCCTCCTCCTCCTCTTCTTCCTCCCCCTCTTCCTCCTCTTCCTTCTCCTCTTTTATTTCTTCCTCTTCCTTATGCTCCTCTTTTTGGTCCTCTTCCTCCTCTTTATCTGCCTCCACCCCTTCGTTCTCTTCTTGAGACTTCACATGTTCTGGTTCCTGGGATGCCTCTGAGACAGTCTCTTTCATGCTGCCCAATTCTTCAGCTTCTTGGGAAGAATCTTCTTTGGACTCATCCATACTGCCCCTCTGTGGGAACTTGTCCCCGTGGCTCCGTGCCTCTCCAGCCATGATGAGTTCTGTCTCTTCGACTGTTTCTTCTTCCATCTCTTCAGCCTGCTTCTCGGAAGCCGTCTCTTGACCTATGCTTTCTTCAGCTTTGCGTATTGCCACTCTCGCCTTTCGTTTTTTCTTCAGCTTCCTTATTTTCTGCATGAAGAGCTTTTCATGGCTTTCTGTTTGTGACCAACATTAAAGGATAATTAGACAGAGACTGGTGTTGCCTGGACTGGGCTCCCAACCCACAGATGCACTGGAGTGATGGCACTGAGCCCGGGGCTCAGGTTGTGTTACCTGGTTGCCTGAATTTGAAAGTCACTTCCCCAGCCAAATTCTACAAGGAAAAAATACAGTTCACTGCAGGGCCAGCAAAGCCTTTTCCCAGACTGCTGCTTCTAAAGCTTCTTGTCTCTTTAGGTAAAAAGGCTCTGATGCGGGCTATGACCAACTTCATTTACTGGGGCAATCTGTGCATCCTCGGGGCAAGCAAACATTTTTTCTTAATTCCCAACAGGCTAGCACAGCCTCATGGCAAGCACGAGGTAACAGAATCGGGGCTCATTCGGACACAGTCTCACACTTGAACTAGAGGAAATGGTGGGCAGCAGGGTGAACTGGCAGATGCGCCAGAGTCCAGGGAGGGTGGACAGAATGAGCCTGATAACATGATCCTGGCTGAGCTGGTTCTGATGAGGTGGAGCTGGTGAGGAACACCTGAGTGAAGAGTGAATGGGTCTCGGCTTAATTTTAGCAGAATCATGTGCCAGTGGTAGACACAATGAATGAGACAAAAAGCGTTATAGAATTAGACTTTTCACTTTCAGTTTGGAGCCTGTCAATCATATGTGCATGCAAGTGAGAAAGGGGGTCATGTCACTGTGTGTGGGGGTGTGTGTGCCTGTGTGTATGTCAGAGGACAACTGTGGGTGTCTATCCTCACTGTGGGTCTCCTTATTGTTCACTGTAGTGTATATCAGGCTAGCTGGTTTCTGAGCTTCTGGGGATCCTCCTGGCTCTGACTCCCATCTCCCCATAGAAGCAACGGAACTACAGATGTGGGCTACTGTGCCTGGCTTTATGTGGGTTCTCGGGATTTGAACTAAGGTCTTCACACTTGCCCAGCAAGCATTTTCTCTGCTGAGCCATTTACCTAGCCCCTAGGCCCTTTCAAACTAAGAGAAAGTCTTTGTTCAGTCTCTTCATCCTTGACATCCTAACACGGATTCCTACTCCCAAATGGTTTAAAATACCCTGCCTGGGGAATGATGTTGCTACTGTGGTCAGATCAGACAGGAAGCCATCCTCTCCCCTTTCCTACTTATCGAGTGGACAGGGGTGTGCCATCTGTCCTTGATACCTGTTCAAAGATTTCACGAACGAAGAAGTGTCGGCTGAGGGTGAAGCTGTAGCAGTTGAGCTCTTTCAGTACTAACCCTGGGTACTCCATCACATCTTTGGTCAGGAGGATGTGGAAACATTCATACCTGGGAGAGAGGAGGATGAAACGACTGTGTGAGGGGCCTCTGCTGGAGACCCTCGCTGGAGCCATGCCCCAGGCCTCCATCTGGCAACTAGCATTGCTGGGTGGTTTTTTTTTTTTTTTTTTTTTTTTTTTGTCACAGAGGCCGTCTTAGAGCTATTGTACTGTTTCCCTGATCATACAAGGAGCACATGCTCTATGTAGAGAATCTGGGAAGTTTCTTGTTTGTAATATGGACTCACTTTTCCTATCCATGATCCTAACTCTGTCCTTGAACTTAATCTGCATTATCCCATCAAACCCACAAACATCACCAGGCTCAGAAATGTTATCTGTTTCTCAGACAAAGTAAACAAGGCTCAGGAGCTTACTTAGTTACCCAAAGGTAAACCTTCAGGTCATGTGCAGTCTATTTCTGGGAATGGTCCCTACAGAACCAGCTGTATAAGAGGCACGAAAATATAAAGCAGTTCACAGAGAACTGTTAGTAATTCTATGGAGAACCCAGAGCCAATAGAGAAAAGCTAATCACTGAGATGGCTAACATGTGATCAAGTATCTTTTAAGTAATTATAGTAGTAAATTCTATATGGTCACTTAAAAACTGAAATAGGTCTGAAATTGAAGAATAATTTGCATTATATAAGTCATCCTTTATTTTTAAAACACTATATTGATACGTATCTGCATATATAAATGTGCATTCTCATACAAAGGAACAACAGCTGGGTAAGAATGAGGGGGACATCTCTGTTTGCAAAACTTGACTTTTCTGTCCCTTTAACAAAGAGTATTATACATAAACTGGGCAGTGATGGCACAGGCCTTTAATCCCAGCACAACAGAGGCAGAGGCAGGCAGATCTCTGTGAGTTTGAGGCCAGCCTGGTCTACTGATTCAGGACAGCCTCCAAAGCTACCCTCCAAAAAAAAAAAAAAAAAAAAAAAAAAAAAACCTCAAAGAGTATACATGTTTACATTTTATGGCCTTGACACTTCTCACTACAAACTTGCCACAATTCTCGCTGGGAAATTCTGCAGGTTCCCAGGTGAGGGGCAAAGGATTATTGTTAATGTTCACCAGTGTTGAGACAAGGCTTTTATCTGAATTTGTCCATCACAGCTCTGGTCTCCTGCACTAGCTGGTGTTCCCTTAACTGTGAATCCAGGCCATTCCTCCTGTTTCCTGAAGTCTGGTCAGCTTACCTAGACTTCATGTTCCTCAGAAAATTCTTGGCCTTCTCCAGGTGGCTCTTCAGTGTCTCTTGTTGGCTCTGCTGTCTCAGTTGGTCTAGAAGCTTATCGAGGTTAACCTCTTGGATCTGTCAACCATTCCCAAAACAAGGGAAGCACAGGTTGAGTGTCCAGGGCTGGAAGAATGTTAGTGACATGCAGATCCTACTTTCTCCAGGTTTAGGCAAAAAGACTCTGAGAGGGACCAAGTCTGTGACCACCCAGGCTCTTCCCAGCACACACTTGCAGGCTCTTCTCTGTTCCTGGAATGTCCTTTTGTCCCTATCTACCTCCCCAAGGCCCCAGCTCACAAGAGCCAGTTCAAGGACATGTCTCTTGTGCTTTGGCCCTATTGTCAAGCCTGTACTACACATTTCTGAGGCATCTGTAAGTGACAACTTGGAGCCAGTTCCCTGAAACGCTACCTATACCTCACTTTATCAGGCCACATAGGTGAGTTAGCTCCACAATTGGGACTTCAAAAGGCATAGGATCTCAAGATTTAGATACTTTGTGGGTTTAGGATGTGACAGGCATCACTGTCAGCTGCTTCTTTGCAGACTGAGAGAGTTCAGACTGACTCAAACTTGGGAGCTTTGAAGCCACCACCAGAGCTGCCACTTCCTCACAATGAAGCAACCTTACTTGTCATGCTGGGCCCGGGGGTCTAGCCAGTTTCTCCTGAGAAACATCTCATAAAAGGGCCACCATAGTCTTTAATTAGGCTTGACTTCCCAAAAAGGTCTGCTTTCCCCCTACTCAAACAACTGCATATCAATTAACTCTGGAGTTCACTGTGGGGGCAGTGCACCTGTCTGTCACATGCCATCCTTTTGAGATTTGTTACATTGTCATCTTCTTTTAACACTATGGGGAAAAAAGAATTCATTCTCTTTGGCAAGCAGTAAGCCATGGCTCATGAAATTATACTTTGATCGTCTTGTTTATTTTCTTATTTACTTAATTCTTTTGTTTTTCTCTCAGTGTGTGTGTATGTGTGTGTACGTATGTATGTGTATGCGCGCCCGCGCGCGCGCGCGCGCGTGTGTGTGTGTGTGTGTGTGTGTGTGTGTGTGTGTGTGTGTGTGTTTTCAGGCACATGCATGTGAAGATCAGAGGACAATTCTTGGAAGCCTCTCCTGACACTGGGATTGAACTCAGGTCATTAGGCTTTTGTGCAAGCACCTCTACCTGCTAAGCCACCGCACCAGCTCCACATCATGTTACAGACTACTCCCCATTCAGTCTCGGCCAGTTAGTCAGGTAGTCAGTCAGTCAGTCAGTCAGTCGGTCGGTCAGTCAGTCAGTCAGTCAGTCAGTCAGTCAGTCAGTCAGTCTTTCTGTCTCTCTTTCTTGTACACACTCTCAGAGACAAGCTTGATTCACAAGACCCATCAAGTTCACTCCCATCTTCCCTCAAGAGGAAGGCAAGCCTCCACCTGCACACATTTTATAATTTAAGGCTTTTACATTTGAGTTTAAGGTCTATTTTCAGTTCATTTTTGTTTATGGTGCTTTTGTTAAATTGGCTTTTTATTTATTTATTACTTATTATCTGAAAGCTGGCAGCTGCAGTGTGGATACAGCCCGCATCTCCCCAGGTGGCCCTAGGCTTTGGGCACCTGGTTCTCCTGGTTGTGCTTCTGCCGATGCTGCTCTATCCTCTTCTCCAGCTCCAGCTCCTGTGACAGCAGAACACTCTGGTGCTCTTCCCACAGCTTCACGGCCTCCTGGAAGTACCTGAAGAGGTCTGCACTCTGAAATTCCATCTGCTTGGCCAAGGTCTCAAAGGAGTTCTGCCGCCCAAGGTAGAACACAGAGAAGTTACCTGGAGGGCAGACTGGCCCAGGCTCCAAAGATGACCTGTCCACAGGGCCCTGTGTCTCCAAAGACAGAAGTTACTACCTGAGCACCATCCCTCAAAGTCAGCTGTAGGCTCTGTGTTGGTTAGTTTTGTGTCACCTTAACACACACTATAGTCAAATGGAAAAAGAGACTCTCAATTGAGATAACACCTCCATAAGACTGGCCCATTGTAAGTCTGTTGAGCATTTCCTTGACTAAAGCTTGATGTGGGCTGGTCCAGCTCACTGTTGATGGTGCTACCTATCCCTGGGCAGGTGGTCTTACATTACATAAGATGGCAAGCTAAGCAGGCCATGAGGAGCAAGCTGGTAAGCAGTGTTCATTCACTGTCTCTGCTTCAGCTCCTACTTCCAGGTTGCCACCCTGCCTGAGTTTCTGCTTATTTCTTTCAATGATGGACTTCAATGTGGATGTGTAAACAAAACAGACCCTTTGCTCCCAGGTTTATTTGATCATGATGTTTTAGAAATAGAAACCCTAACTAAGACAGGCTCCTGGCCTTCCCTGCATGGGACAGCAGGACTGAACTACCTCAGCCTGGGTACCTTTCTCAAGAACACTCTGTCTCTTAGCATCTGGGTACAATTCCACACCTGTTGTTAAAATCTCACATGCAACTTCACCTTTTCAAAACTATATGTCAGGGGCTGGAGAGATGGCGGCGCAATGGTTAAGAGTGCTTGGTGCTCTTTCAGAAGACCTGGGTTAGGTTCTCTGCAGCCATATGGTGGCTCACAACCGTTCATTGCTCCATTCTCTGATGCCTTCATCTGGCCTCCTCAGGCACCAGGCTCATACATGGTACACATACATGCATGCAGGTAAAACATTCATACAGAAAATATAATAAATCAAAAAAATTTTTGAAAAGCTCTGCATATTAGGATTAGAGACAGTTCATTGACAGAGAGCTTTCTTAGCAGATGTGAAGACTTGAGTTTGATGGCCTGCACCACACATACAAAAAAACAAAAATGCACAGGTTGTATGCACTCATCTGGGACAGAGACTGGTAGACTAGACTGCAGGGTCAATCTGGCACTCCATCTGATTTTGTTTGGACTTGAGAGCTAAGCACAGATTCTCTCATTTTTAAACAGTTTTAAAACAAATCAAAAGTAGTAGGGAAGAAGTAACCTGAAAATTAAATGCACTTCAAATCCTGACTACTAATAAAGGTACGGGAACATATCCACACCCTTGTTTTCTACATTGCTTAGGTTGGTAGATGTGATAAGTTATGACAGACATCTGTGGCCCACAAAGCCTAACACAATCACTACCTGGCCCTTCATAGAAAAGGTGTGCTGACTCTAGATCAAGACTATGAATCTCTTGGGGCTGGGAGCTCCTTGCCTTCCACAGCTTTCAACACAGGGGCCAGTAGCGGCTCTAGTACACTTATGGCCTAAGTGGCTTTCCTGAGCATGGGCATCCCAGGATGAAGGGGATGATCTGGTATAGTTACCAGAGGAGGCCTGGGCAGGAAGGGACTGGTGTGGGCCACACCAGGGACACCTTAGACTTCTAGGATTTGCACTGCAGTGCTCCAGAGATGTGCCCCACCTGGAGAGCCCCCAGAGCCCTGTACATACATCTAGGAGCTCCAGCTTCTTCTCCACCTTGCTCTGGAACTCCCCTACCACCAGGAAGAAGGCTGGATTCACCAGGCTCTCTGCTTCTGCTTCTGAAAATGCTTTCCAGTCCAGCAGCTGCTTCTGCAGGGTGGGAGGAGAGCAAGGCGAAGCCTGGCTGTGAAAGCCTTGCTGTCAATGAGCTGCTTCAGGGCCCCCAGGGGGCTGCAAGAAGCACACTGAGTCCTTTTGGTTCTGCTCCTGGATGGATAGGGTGCCCATCAGAGTTGGCCAGAGGTGTCTGGAGAATAGGATGCCCTCTCTGAGGGTAGTGAGCAGGCTCTCAGGGCTCAGAACTTTTCAAAATGCCTCGGCTTTTGTAGGTTTTTCATCTAAACACTTTTACTAAGGAGCCAGAGAGGGGATTTTTGACAAACTATTTCCCAAATTCCAGAAAATCTGCTGCTGTCCTGGACAGGTTGAAAATAAGCTCACTGCTTTACCCTGCCCAGAGGCAGGCAAGCCAGAGAGAATGGAGGGGCTGGAGTCAGGGTCAGCACTATCTATAAAGTGGCATTGTGGTGTACCCTTAGAATATGGTCCCCATCTGTGACAAGGACTGGTGCTATGAAGAATACGGCCAAGGGTAAAGAAAGACCAGAGATGGCTTATGAATATACAGTTCCATTTCACAGGGCCTCCCAGAAGGAGCAATGCTGAGCTCAGCCCTGTAGACTGAGGGTCAGCCAGGTAAAAGGAACCAGGAGCCCAACGGCCAGTGAGCACCTGGTGCCTCACAGGAAGGAAGAATAGCCTCACTGGAGACTGAAGAGGAAGGGACAGGGAGGAAGGCTGGGGGTGGGGCATCAGGTCTAGCACACAGCTTCTCTTCCCAGCCCTAAAGAAAGAGAAGCCTACCTTACAATTCTGCACATGGGCCAGGCACTCCTGCCAAATCTTCTCATACAGGAAGCGTACCAGAGACAAGCAGTCCATGTGGTAGGTGTCTCCAGGAGCAGAAAACAAAATGGGTCAAAGGTCAGATGCTCTCCCAAGAGGAAGGGGAAAGTTAGGAAAGGTGTTCCCTCAGCAAAGAGCTTCCTCTGTGAAGGTTGCTCGGCAGAACACTCTATTTAGGTTAGGGGCTGGTGTCTCCCCCTCATAGAGTCCCTAGCACCCCAAGGGGATGCCCTCCTATGAGGAGCTCATCTCTAGCAGAAGCTTCAGGCTCAGGGGATCTTCTGGGACGCAAAGACAATGGCACATGTGAAAGTTGTGCGTCTGAAATGCATGCCACAGGCTCCAGTTTTGAATACGTTTGCCAGCTGGTAGCACTGTTTTGAAAGGCTTTGGAACCTTTAGGAGGTGAAGCCTAGCTGACAGAAGCAGGTCATTAGGGGTGGACCTTTAACGGCTACAGCCTGGCCTCTGGTCAGCTGCCTTCTCTGCTCCCTGGTCCCCTGTGATGTATGGAGTCTCTACCACAGGCTCCCACATTGTTTCAGCCATGCCATTGAAATCCTCTAAGACCATGAGCCAAAACAGATCTTTGCTCTCTTCACCTATTCAAGTATCGTGTGGCAGTAACATGAGTGCCTGGGGCATGGCCACTGACCTCACTGGGTTGTAGTGAGCCTCAAAGACAGAAAAATCATTACACTTTCTAAAGTAAGGCTTAGTTAGCACACGTTTTCCACAACACGACTGAGCCAGTATTTCCAGCTTTGTGTCATGCAGTCTGGACTGCTTTCAAGGCATCCCAAGCAGTCAGAGAGCACAAGTAGACAAATGAGTGTGGCCACGTCCTAAACTTATTTCCCAACCAGACAGCTGTGACTGTGACCTCACACTCTTAATGTGGACTGTTCTAAACAGTTACCATTTATGGGTCAGCCTTCTTTCTGTGAGCTAGGGACTAAACTGCAAATAGACATTAATTCACAAGGTAGGGGCCATGATTAGTCCTGTTCATGTCTCTACAGAGGAGGACACTGAGGCCATGAGAGATGCCTTGACTTCCCCATGGTCATGCACCAGGATGCAGCAGGATTGGACCTTAATCCCATACTTCCAACTATAAGACGTTCAGGACATGGCCATTGCACCATCCTGAGAGTTAAGCAGAGACCCTATGTCTCTGTCTCCTTGCTTGGGTCAGGAGTCAGATGTCAGAATTTGTGGTTAGCATGCCTGTGGACTGACCTTCAGGGATCACTCATCCTAAAGTCCCAGGATGGAGGGGCCACCACTCCTTAGATACATGACTGGAGGGCTGACTATAGCAAGCTACTACTTGGGAAGAGTTCTGTAAAGTTCTAGAAATCTCACAGAGATGCTCACCAAGCTGCTTGTTCAGGGAAGTGAGAGAATCATACCACTCAGTCAGATGGTTTTTGTTATAGTTTGGGGGGAGGAGGTCACTGGGGAAAGAAGAGATGACAGGTAAACCTTGCCTGCACAAAACTTGCCGAAAGGGCCAGCATATTTAATATCCTGGTAATATAATACTGAAGAAGGGAAAGAACTGGCTGGGATCTCCTGGTACCCCTTTTGGCACCTCATAACTTACTATTCACAAGGTTGCTATCAGGAAGACCCTGAATGGAGCCTCCTGTGCCAGTAGCCTCCCAGCCTACCTACTCTCCAAAGTGCCTCAGGATGAGGGCCAAAGGTATGGCTGTCTAGCCACTTCTTACCAGGCCTCCTCTCCCTCCTCCCTGGCCACAGTTTCTTAGTGAGCTCTTTGGCAGGACCAATCTGAGCTTCTTTCCACAGCAAATGAGCTATGACTTTTCTTGCCATCGGGGCTGGGGTGGCCAGCCCCGCCCTCCAGCACCAGGAGGTGGCCTGGTGTGGAAGTTTCAGGGGAAGATCTAGGTCACATGATCTCTCTATTGGACTCCCAAAGGTACTGACTCCAGTGATCCTTCCTACACCCCATACCAAATGGTGCCGAGGGGGACCATACTAGATGGTGCTAAGGGGACTGACCGTACCAGATGGTGCAGAGGTGATCCAGCCTCACTTTTTGAAGGACCCGCTGGTTCGTCAGCATTTCTTCCAGCTCCTTCTGCACAGCAGGGGGCTCCTGGATATCCTTGCTAGCCATAAACTCACTGGGCAGCCAGATGCCGCATCACAGAGGAGATAAGTGGGAGGGAGACTCAGGCAAGAAGGCACTGATCCCCTGGCCCACACCACCCAGACCATAATGGCCCCACCTCAGACCCCATGACCAGGAACAAATTCCTCTTCCACTCTGAGCGTTGGACTGTAACACGGAGCTGACCGCAGCACCCATCACTGGGAATGTGTGAGGACTCAGATAGATGACAGACAAAGCCCTAAGCCCCATGCCCCCTACATCATGGGAAGTGTCCAGAAAAAGTCAGCTGTGGCCATTGCTACTGCTATCTGTTGACCTTTAAATCCTGGACCCAGACAAGCTCTGTTTATAGAGTCATCGCTGAGACCCTACTGCAGGGTTGTTAGGATGCCTGGAGGGTGGAGGAGCAGGCTTGGCACACTTGGAGACTTCATCGAGGGCACATGGAAGGGCAAGGTTGAGCCTCAGCACACAAGTGCAGAGATGGGTCCTCCCTCCCTCTTTCTCCCACAGAGGAAACAAGCTCCTGGAAGGTGGGAGGTATCCACCTAGGTTATAACTAATACAGAAGAATGTAAATAAACAGACAATTACATGAACACTTCCCGATAATTCATACTGAGCTCAGAGAATAGTTGTGAAATAGTGTTCATGAGAAAACAAGATCTAAAACGGCATGGACTCTGTGGGTCTGAAAGTGCTCAAGTCTTAGTCTACTTCTCCTTCTAGGAAGGGTCAGTGGTGACTCTTAATTTCTTTTTTGATGCCTTTATCTATTTCTAACTTTAAATATGGGGGCAAAAAAGACAGTAGAATTTTTAAATAATGATGAAGAGAGCAGGAAAAAAACCAGCCTGGCGGCTAGGAGGGAGCTGTAGGTGGGAGTGTGGAAGGACGGGGGACAGGAGGAGTGTCACTACTGACTTGAAGCTCTGCTGCAGGGCCTCCTTCTTGAGATCCTTCCAGGTATCCACCAGGCCCTGCCAGCGGTGGCGGTTGTCAAGTTCCTGCTGCAGGGTAGCTTCAGTCAGGTTGACCAACAGCTGGGCGATGGCCCTCCGATTTCCCAGTAGAGCCTGGTTCATGGCCTGGGGTCAGAGATGAGTGGGGCTTTAGACAGGGCAGTTCGCTGGCCATGAATCTCTGTTCTTCAGGAGTCTTCCTTGAAGGCTGAAGCATGTTCCTGATAGCAGGAACCCCAACCCAGAAATGTGGCTGCACTGGGTCACTTCTTAAAAATGAGGGAGGGTGACATTCCAGTTGGCTGTTTGCTGCCTTTATATAAATTTGTTCCAAAAATCAGAGCCCAGCTGCATGTGATGGCTTTGAGACCCAGACCCAAAGATGTGCTGGATCCAGCTCCAAACCTGGTCCTCCCAGGACTGCCCATCTACATGTCCCTGGACCAGGATGGCAACAGCCCCTTATTGAACAGCATGACTCTGCCCTGTACCCTGCATCATCCCCGCTGCTGAAATGAGAGCAGTTTCCCCCCTCACCACTCCCACCCCATCACATAATAAAACCTCAATGCCACCCATTTCCCTCTAGCTAGTTGAAGGCCCAGCCAGGCTCAGTGGGAAGGAATTCCACCATGGCTTTCCAGCAGGGCCTGAGGCTTCATGCCAGCAAGCCCTGTGTCGCTGGGGTCTAAGCAAGTGTTTCTTCACCCTGCAGGTCCACAGCAGTGCTGTGAGAGTAGAGGAGTTGTGAAATTTGACGAGACGAATACACACAGTGTGAGCACACGTGCCAGGTGACAACAGTTGAGGAGACGGGGCACCAGAAGGGAAGCACAGCACTGAGTCATGTCCAGACTAGAGACACACAAAGCCTAAACTTTAGGATGGAAATTACTATATTAAGTGAGATGACCCAGACTCAGAAAGACAAGTATTATATATTCTCTCTCATATGGAGCCCTAAGTTTTAATGTTTATATGTGTTTAATGTACACATGTAGGTGTGAGTATAGGTGCAAATTATGGAGATGGAAAGAGGACCAAGAGGGGAGAAAAAGAGGTGTCGTGACAAGGGGGGAGTAGCAGAGTATACGGCATGGAGACAGATGGAGGCTAACGGGGTTGGTGGAAGGGTGCCTGCCGGCAATGAGGGGTGGGGAGACCCAGGTGGGGAGAGGGTCAACAAATCAGATCATGTTTTAAAACACCATAACAAAGCATATTTTGTATGCTAATTAAACCCAGGTGTCAGGGCGATGGCTCAGTGGCTAAGAGTGCTTACTGCTCCTTCAGAGGACTCAGTTTGGTTCCCAGCACTCAGGCTGGATGGCTCAAAACCACTCGCAGCTACAGTGGCGGGTCCAGTGCCCTTTTTCAGCCTCTGCAAGTACTCACATACACACAGAGAGACACAAATATGCATACAGAGAGACACATACACACAGAGAGACACACATACACAGAGAGACACATACATACAGAGACACACATATACATACAGAGAGACCCACATATACATACAGAGAGACATAGAGAGACACAGACACACAGAGACACATATACACACAGGGAGACATAGAGAGATACATACACACAGAGACACACATATACACACACAGAGAGACACATACACACAGAGAGACACACAAATACAGACACGGAGAGACACATATACATACACAAATTTTAAAAAATCTCTTTAAGAATAAAATTTTAAAATAAGGATGACTGTTACTGTGAGGACCTCTGCTGTCACACTCCAAACATGTTCTAGCAGGGAGCACTGCTGTCTCAATTAAAGACCTAGGAAACGCTCAGCTCTGCACAAATACCACTGCAAAATGCACCTCTGAGCAGCCCAAGCAAGAACCCTTTCACGTAGCAGAAGAGTCAGGCTTTACTCTGGAGACATCATGAACAACCTTGAATTTACTTCCAGTCTCCCCTATCCATGGGGGGGCGGGTGGAGAGACTGGAAGTAAAGAGCCAGAGCCAAGAGGCAGGTGCCATGCAGCCAGAGATACCACCGGCCAGTAGGAAAGGCAGGAAGAATGGGGAAGCCAGAGTAGGCTGGGACTGCCAAGGGTGGGGAGTCCTGGGACCATGAAAGTCCTAAGACAACAACCCCAGAGTGTAGCACCCATAGCACTACACACACAGTGCCTGGGACGTGGCCCAGTAAGTGATGGCTGAGTGTTAGACATGTAACTATAGACAGCAGGAAACCATGAACACACTCCTCAATGACTGCTACTGAAAATGCAGTTGCAAATATTTGATTCCCAACCGAAGAAGCCTACCTGAGTTATCTAGGGACATCATGCATTCTTGAGACAACAGGCTCAGGATAGCCTAGGCCACATTCCTCCCCACTACAGAACACCACTCACCATGGCTTCTTTATCTATCAGCCTATATACATCAGGCTGCAGGAGGTAGGAGGTTTTCTCTAGGATGTCAACATATCTCTTCAACACGTCCTTCAGCTAGAGAGGAGAAGGCATCACTGTGAGTGACTCTCGGTTCCTAGAGCACTAACAGGAAAAAGAAGGGTGTCCCATAAACCCTTCTAGAGAACGCCAACTTGCCTTGTTGGCTCGAGAGACCTCCAGTGCCAACAGCTCTTGATCTAGATCCTTAATCTCCTGCTTCTGCTGCGTGAATCTCTCAGCCACCTTCTCCCATAGCTCCAACAGACTCTGCCCAGAGGAACTGGGTCAGTCTAGGAGCTCCTGGAGAGGTAGGAAGAGCAGGCAAAGCCTCCAGGGAACCCCTACCTCAATATTGTGGCTCTCAAGATCAGGTTCATTTTCGACTTTTTTGAAGAGCATATCAACATCATCATCAGACTGGCCCATCTTCTTCAGAAGAAGCTCCCCTTTCTCCAGGATAAGAGGTTCCATCTCCTGAGACAGGCCAGGAGGCTGAGGGTCAGGGTGTTAACATCCCACATGGGAGATGGCCTTCCCTGTAATGGGGGAGGTGCTAGGCCCCATCACGTCTCAAGAAGGATCATTATCTAGACCTGAGGAGTTGAGGACTGATTTATCTAGACCTGAGATGCTGAGGATTAATGATGAACTCACACCCAGAAGACCAGGGCACCCTGCAGCATCCCAGGCACGGCTTCTGTGTAGTACCGGCTGCCACTTGATTCTCGCCTCAATAGCTGATGGAGGGGCTGTCATCCGATCTAGCCTGTCAGCTCCCAAAGAAACTCAGGACAAAGGACTAACTGTGGCGCCTCTTAACATACCCAAGTGTCTGCTTGGCCCCTAGACTCCTCTCAGCACTGTGTGCCCCCTGCCCTAAACTTCTCCAGCTCCTGGGCTTCGCTTCCCTTCCTTCAGCTTCTCTTTCCTATATAACACTGCCATTTTGGCCATGTCCCCTCTTGGTGCTCCTTTCTTGGTTCTCTCTTGGTCCTCTGCCCTTGACTCTTGGTTCTCCCTCCTCTTTGCTCTCTCTTCTCTTTCTCTCTCAACACCCCTCCCACCCCACCCCACCCCTTCCTCTCATAGCCCTGTTCAGTCTGGACCCTTCTGGATGCCTCTGGCTGCACTCTCTCCCATATTTACAATAAAATCCTTCTTCTCAACCATACCTAGGAGCGGTCATGTCTATAACTGGTATTCAACAGTCATTAAAGGAGTGGATGAGAGAAAGCCAAGTTTACCCTGCATATGAAAACCAAGGCTGATGGAAGTGAAGAAGCAGTGATGGTAGGGCTGGTATCTAGTTGGGACATAATGAAGACAAGACTGGACTCTGCTCTTAGTGCCTTGGACATGCAGCCAGTACTTGGGACTCAAGACTGGGAGTCAGAGAAGAGAGAAACGGGAGACATAGGCCTGTGTCTCGAGAGAGGAGTGTGGAAGGAATAAGTGGTCTCATTTAGGAGCCTTCCAAGTCCCAGTGTAGTTAGAGATGAAGTCTTGAGAAGAACAGAGAGCCAAGAGTGGGGAACTACGGAGTCTATGGCGGTTTGAAAGTCCCCCAGAGTTTTGGGCATTTGAACACTTGGTCCCCAGTTGGTGGTGCTGTTTGTAGAGGTTTAGGAGTCGTGGCCCTGTTGGAGGAAGTATGTCAGTGAGAATAGCCTGGAGAGCTTAAGGCCCCCCCTACTTCTTGCTTGCTCTCACTGCTTCGGGTTGCATTTGAAGGCGTGAGTACTCTGCTTCCTGCCACCATGCATGCCACTTGCTGCCACGCTTCCTCACTGTGAAGGATTTGTCCCTCTGGAACCATTAAGTCACCTTGGTCATGTGTTTTATCACAGCAATGGAAAATTAACTAATACAAACCCCACAAGTGCTGAACTGTTTAGGGTACATCTTGGATACCTCTGCCTCTCTGTCAGCAGGACTAGCAGTGAGTCAAAGGCTGGCTTTTAGCCAGACAAACAGTTCTGATTTGGCCCCTTTCATACCTGTCCTGGTAAGACTCTGGGCCTCTCTGAAAAATGAGGTAAGAGCTCCGACTTACTGACAGGGATTTTCTGAGAGTTAAGAGAGCCTGCACTTACGGCATTCCTGTAACAAGCTCCTTGAACATGCCTTCTATGATCCTATCCATGTCTATGTTTTGATGAGACATTGAGGACCACCCAGGTAGGGAGGAGGAGAATGGAGATTGGGGGCAATGAAAGCACACCTCCCCACCCAAGGAATGCCACAAGAACAGAGGGGAGAATGTTGTGATCCAGGCAAACCTGGCCCCATCCTTTGGGGTCCTGGCAGAGTGTGCCACCTCTGCACATGTCAGACAGTACACTGGCTCTGTACTCATGTGTGAAGGTCACTTTAAGAGACAAGCTCTGCCTACTCTCTCTCTCTCTTTCTGCCATTTCTGAGGAGGCAGCCCTCTCTGTCTTTCTCTTTTCCCTTCCCTTATTCCCTTATATCTTCCCCCCAATAAATTTTCCACATAAGTACTGCCTGATGGCACATTTGTCTCTCACCCACTATTTGTCCCTCACCCACCATGGAAGCCTTCCAAGGTCCCCTTCGCGCCATATCATAACAGAAAGGAGCAGGGCTCACCATCGCAATCTGCTCAATCTCCTCCTGAAAGCTTGCCAGTGCACTCAGGTAATTCCTCTTCTTGTACTCTTCTTGCCCTTGGAGGATGCTGGAGCTTGTCTTCTCAGAAACTGCAGGGCAACAACAGAGCTGATGAGCCTGCAGACAGAGAACAGTGCTCCCAGGGAGGCCAGCATGGCAGAGAACATCAGCACGCAGGCCTGAGTTCAGAAGACAGACCCAAAGCCAGGCCAGAAGTGGCAGAGACTTAAGGACCAAGAGAAAAGAAGAAGATGACCTGTGAGTGCTATAAGGAACAGGGTTCAGATGGAGAGACAAGGACTGAGAGGTGGGTGGGGTATAGCTCAGTGGTTAAGCACTTGCCTATGTGCTCGGGGCCCTGACTTCAACCCATGTACCACAAATAAGTCAACAATTACTGGGGCAAAATTCCCAAATGGTGCATATAGAATGATAGTGTTTGTAGTTTTCTTTAAAACAATTTCAGCCAAGCATGGATGGCACAAGTCTGCAGTCCCAGCATGAAAAGGCCAAGAAGATCTTAAGCTTCAGGCCAGCCTACTTAGTGGAACTGTGTCAAAAATAACAACAAAAGAAGTTTTATAGATACAAATACACATGCTTTTTTGAGTCAAGGGAGTTCTGATCTGGCAAAATCACTATAAAGAGAAAATACTGTAAGCTGAAAATATATTTAATTATACCTAATCTACTGAGCATGGAAGCTTAGTCCAGCCCACATTAGTCTACAACTGAGCAAAAATCATCTAACACAAGACCTGTTTTGTGACAAAATGTTGACTATCTGAGCTGAAATCTGTCTTGAAAGTGAAAAAAGACAAGAGTTCATGAGTATGCTTTTGTGCCACCGTGAAGATGAAATAAAGTAAGATAAAGTCAGGAATAGTGATATGCACCTTTAATCCCAGCACTTGGGAGGCTGAGGCAAGTGATCTCTGTGAGTTTCAGGCCAGCCTGATCGGCATAGGGAGTTTCAGGACAGCCAGAGCTATACAACAAAGAGACCCTGTCTCAAAACAAAACAAAGCAAAAACAAAAAACAAGCAAGCAAGAAGGCAAGAAGGCAATACAGTAAGATGACCCACTGAAAACCAGAGAGAGACCATTTGCAGCGATATTAGCCAACACTAGAGTACATTGCCATGTGGCAGCAACATTCTAACTATCGCACCCAATGACCAACCCAGGAGACTGGGGCTGTTACTAGCCTCCTGTAATGTGCTCACCCTGGCTTGGTGGTTAAAGAGCTAAGCCCCAGGCGGCTGAGCAGGATGTGAAGCTGAACCCTCAGCCCTGAGCCTGCACTCCATCCCCATCACCTGCTCTGCTTTGCCCTGTGTCTATCTTGGAAGCTGGAAGCTGGCTGCCACCTGGGGTAGTAGGGCTGGGGCTCTCGGCAGAAGGGCACTACTGCCAACACGTAGTGGTGCCTTCTGACTTTTTACAATGAGCATGGGTAATGTTTTAATCATAAAGACGCAGGGCACCCACATGTGGATAATGTCAAACTAGGACATGCAGTGAGGAGGAAGAAAGTATGGCTTGAGAAGTGGCACTGTCAAATCACACACAGTAGTGAGCTCCCTCCTTCCTGGGATTGCCCACAGTGCAGCAGCCACTGGCTCTCCCTCCTGGGGGATGCCCAAAAGACATCCTCTGGGAAGCTGAGCAGAGGACCCCAGTGAGGACAGCAGGAGCCTCTGAAGTTGAACCACAGCAGACTCTGCCATCTGGAGACATCATGCCTAGGACAGGCCTTCCCTTGGGGCTGAGGGCAGAAGGCTCACCAACGTTGTCCATGAGACCCTGCACCTCTCGGGTAGCAATCATGTCCTCTGTTTCACGCATCTTTTCCTTCCTGGCTTGTTGCTTTTCCCTGAGGAAACAAGTAGAGAAGAGTAAACCCTGACCCCCACCCCTACCTACCCCCACTCGCAACTCCCAGCACAGCACAGGCATTGGCAACCACCCAGGCCTCCTATTCCAGAGAGCCTTGGAGGCAATGTCCAGGCTCCCAACCAATGCTGCTGACTATGTCTCCAAGCATAGTCACTGAGGGTTTCTGGATGGTGAGTTAGGTCCCTGCTTCAGACATAAGCTGTAAATCCCTTACCTGGCCAATATGGGTCAGGGGCTGGAACCCTTTCCATATGGGAAATGAAGGATCACAAAGGTGAACAGCCCAACAAAGATAAAGTTCTCAGCATGCACCCTTATTTGGTCCTTCAGCCGGCTGTCTGTGGTGGTTTGAATGAGAATGCCTCCCACAGGCACATATGTTTGAATGTTTGGTTCACAGTTGGTGGAATATTTGGGAAGGATTAGGAGGTGTGACCTCTTGGAGGAAGTGTGTCACTGTAAGTGTTGAGGCTTCAAAAGCCCATACCATTCCCAGTTAGAGCCCTGCCCCCCCATCTCTCTCTGCCTCATGCTTGTGGATCAGATGTAATCTCTCAGCTACTGCTCTAGCACCATGCCTGCCTGCCTGCTGCCATGCTCCCCACTATGATGGTCATGGACCCAAACCCTCTGAAACTGTAACCAAGACACCATCATGTGAGGCAAGTGGAGTAAGCCCATTTTCTGGGAGGGGCATTGTGTGGAGTCAGGGGAAGTGAGCTGAGGTCTCTCAGTAAACTAACTCAGTGGGGAAGGACCAGGAGGGAAGACTGTGACATCAACTCCAGAATAAAGTCTATAAAATGCACCATCTATGAGGCAAGCACCAGAGGAACCCAAAGTGCCCTACTGTTCTCCAAGGGGAGCAGTATTTTCCTGCAGGCCTCTTATGAGTCCTCATGCAGTCCCACAGTTGGGAGACTACAGGTCTGGACTGCAGCCGATGAGGGCTAAGCAACTGTGCAGCATGGAGGAGGTGCTCTCAGACCTTGTTATTTCAAACGTCCCTGGCTCAAAGCAGCTCCAGAAGAGCCCACGGGACAATGAGATCTGCTGTCAGCTCTGGTTTCTCAGCCACTTGCCCCTGGGATTTGAGGAGTTGGTTTATATAGTGGAGATCTAATTTTCCCTGCCCAACCCATACACAGTGTGGGCTGGTCTCCTCCAACCTGAGGGGAATAAGCATATAGATTTACTGTCTTTTTACTATTCTGCGAGGAATTCTCAAGCACTTGCTCAAGGGCTTTGAGGAAGATGGGCGCTGTAGCTCTGTTATTATCCTCCCACCCTAGCTGATCTCTGCCAACCCTGGAGGAACTTCCCAACAACCTGAGCAGGCATGAGAGCTCTGACTTACAGAGAGAGAAAGAGATAGAAAGGGCAGGGTCAGCCAGGGACACAGCTAGAATTGACAGAAGTGCCTAAGAGACCTCAATAAAATCATCTAGAGTGGACAAGGAATGGGGGCTGCTGATGAAGTAGAGGCTCTTCCAGGCAGACCCGGACTGAAGGGAGGAGGGGAGCAGTAACTGAAGCAGGTTCTGCTTTCAATAGGGCAAGAGGCCCTGGAGTTGATAGTTGAGGACAGGGAAGAGAGAGGGAGAAGGCTGGAAGGGCTGGTAGAAGAGGCCTAGGCTGTACCATGTTTGTTCTCCAGTCCCTAGAAATCCCAGGAGAACAGGCAGGCCCACCTATGGCCTCCCTTTTGTGGTAGATAGAGGTCTCTTTCTCTCTCTCTTTCTCTCTCTCTCTGCTTGTCTGTCTGTCTCTCCCTCCCTCTCCCCCTCCCTCCCTCCCACTCCTGTGTGTGTGTGGGTGTGTGCGTGTGTGTGTGTGTGTGGATGT